GGAGACAAGAGAAAGAGCTCACGGATTAAATGCTCACACGTGTGAAAGAAGGTACATGAGGCAAGAGACTGGGCCCTGAAGCTAGCCTGACTGGTTGACACCCTGGCTTTAATGTTGCTACCGTGTAATCTCACGCAAGTTAACTTTTCTCCACCTCAGTTTCATCATCTGTGAAATGGGATCAATAATAATTAAAATAATTATAATTAATATACTATATTATATGTATTACTATTATGATTATTATATGTAATTAATAATTAATTAATGACCTACCTTCTTGGGCTGCTGTGAGGGTAAATGAATTGACACACATGCAGAGCATTGAGAACACTTTTTTAAAAATGACCTTTTTTTTTTTTCTAAAGATTTTACTTATTTATTTGACAGAGAGAGAGAGAACAAGCAGCGGGGTGGGAGAGGGAGAGAGAGAGAAACAGACTCTCCGCTGAGCAGGAAGCCCGATGGGCTCGATCCTGAGACCCTGAGACCCTGAGATCAGGACCTGAGCAGAAAGCAACAGCGGGACACCCAGCGGCTGAGCCAGCCGGGTGCCCCGAGAACACTTCTGAAGGCAGAGTGAAGTCTCTAAGACCGCTCTTATTGTCGTGGGCCCAGTGCTTTCCAGGTGCATCACCCCTGTGACCCAGGGATCCACCGTGGAGCCGGAGAGGCCAAGCGTCCATCAGAGAACAACTAGAAGGGTCGTCGCCCTGGAATAAGTGAGTAGGTATAGAGAGGATGCGGCCGCAGGATGTTGCTGTGGAGGAGAAGACGGGATCCACCTCAAGAAGATGGTCGGGAACAGGTAAGTAGAGTGGGTGCACACTAAGTGTTTGGGTAGGTAGACGGGGAGAGAAAAGATGGCAAAAGCAAAGACTCTTAGGTTTTTTAGAACTGGGGTCCTTGACACATTCAAGCTGATGTAAAATAGCTCAGGACAGACAGCATGAGCCTTCTGGTTAGGATTCTAAAGCTGGCTGCGGATTGGGCCAGCGAGAACGTGTGCAGTGGTGACTTTGGGCTCGTGATTTCTTCAGCTGCACCAAAATTAAGTAGAAGCAGGTCGGGTGGTCCTTTTGTTGTTTATTTTCCCTAAAGTTGAATTAAAAAAAAAAACAGCTCTTTTCTTTTTAAAGGGCTCAAGTTATAAACAACTAAGATAAAACCACAAACCCTACATATTTAGTGGTTATTCTCTTCCTGGGACACACACAACTGCTTGTATAGCTACATTTTCCCACATGGATGACACGATTTTAAAATATTTTTAATTTAAATCATTGCATGTTTTCAGGCAGGTAAGGTACACTTCTTATATCCTTTTTACTTCTATAATTTGGTAGTTTATGTCTTTCATCCTAAAATAATAATAGCGGTCTTTCTGCATCTTCACATATTGTACTTGCTTTCAATAGACTGACGGAAAAGTAAAAAAAAAATGCTTTCGTAGTTGGTGAATTTATTATCCATTCTCAACAGTTACTAGAACTGTAATCTGCTTCTCTTAAATTCAAAAGTTGTTGAATGATTGACTTTGAGAAGAATGGCCAGGAAGGTAAAGGTATTTAAAAACCTCATGGCATGTCTTCAGGAGTTTGGATTTTGAGATTTATGAAAACTAGGTTAACGGTGTTTTTGAAAAAGAAGCAGAACTCTGCTCTAACTTGGTTTTCTAATAGCTTCTTGGTTCATTTTCTCAGTGCTTATTAGGATGCGTTCAACAGTTTCTAATATTTTCTTTTCTGAATTTGCTGAAAAACAGCAAGAGCGCCTTAGGTGTCCTCACTATACTAAGGTCCTTCTAGAGGAAGAAGTGTTCCCATATAACTAAGTTCTCTATATTTTCTTTGGGGCAGGAGCTCCAAAATCTTCCTAAGAGCAGCTCCCTCAGTTGTCCTATCAACACATACTTGTCTCCCAAACCCACTTTTTAAGAAAACTTGGCGTTATTCAAAGATGCAGAGGTGATAGGGTTCCCCCGTTCGTCCAAACCATTTGCTTGCGTTTTGTAGTTGTGAACCTGCCATTTGAATTTGTTATTTTTTTGGAAAGCTGGACCAGAAAGGTCAGAGGCTACCTTATTGCCAAACTGCTGTAAGTAACCTGTCTGGAATCTGAAATCAAGCGGGTAAAGTGGAAAAGTGAGTCTAAATGTGTCATCGGGTGGCAGGTCCGTACGCTGCCCAGAAGGCGGGGTTCATCCTGCCCAGGTCGGCGAGCTCTGAGTGCTGGTGAGGGAGACTGCGGAGTCACGCTGCCTGGGTTTGAGTCCCATCTCTGCCACCGTCCCAGCGCCAAGTGCTTGGCAACGACTGCTCCAGAGACAATCTCTCAATATTCCGTGTCTCCTGATTCTGGGCACTGACAAGGTTCAGTTGGGTTTTCTCTCCAGGTCTCTAGTGCACTGTGGTCCGCCAGCGACTGGGCCTGGAGTCATCTTCAAGGCTCACTAAGTCACGTATCTGGCTGTAGGCCGGGGGGCCAGCTGGCACCACCCGCGGGAGCACCTACCCTGAGCTTCCTCCGTGCATGGGCTGGGGTCCCAGGGTGAGCGGGTTCCAAGAGAGAGCCAGATGGAAGCCGTAGCTCCTTTTAGGGCCTAGAGTCACACGTCGTACAGCATCACTTTTGCGGCATTCTCCTCATTGGGAGCAAGTCACTGGGTTCAGCCACGCTCAGAAGGAAGGCAGCTGGACTCCGCTCTTTAACGGGAGGAGTGGCCGAGAGTTTGTGGACGTGTCTTCAAACCACCGTTGCCACTGATTAGCTGGGACCTCTGGTTTCCCCTTTCCTTGTCTGCAGAATAAGAACGAAGAAAGACCCCCCCCCCCTCGGGTTTCTGTGAAGACTAAACAAGAACGGCGCAGCACCTGGTACCCAACGTGCCTTAGCTCACACCTATCATGTCTTCATCCATCTGAACGGGTGTGGGTGGGTCGCCAATGATCATACAGTTCCAAGCACGGGGGTCTGGGCAATTGTCACCTTTCCGAGCCCCACTGGTGACATTTGACAAATACCAGTGCCTGTGGTTCTCAGGCCTCTGGGAACAGAGTTCCTATATATGGTATGAATTCTTTGGTTCACCTCATTTTAGTGACAGTTTCCAGATATAGGTCAGTCCATTTAAACCTGGCCCCATTTATGGCAATTTATTCCATTATAGGATAAAGTAGTTAGGAACATGAGTAATAATTACTGTGCCTGCACTGCTTTTAACACCTTAGCCGAGTAATCCTCACGTCACCCAGTGAGTAAGGTTGGAGGAGCACCCTTCCCTCCTCCTGGATGAGGAAACCGGGGCTCGGGGTCAAGCGGCTTGTTCTAAATCCCACAGAGAGGCAAGAGGTGAGCTGGGGTGAGGAGCCTGGTCCCGACCCTCCTGCCTCTGCCATGAGCCAGGACAACCTCTGGACTCACAGCCCATCACTGGTCCTTCCCCACCGGCCACTGATGCGCTATTCTCAGATGCACGGGGGTATTTGAAATCTCTTTCAAATCTTTTCTGTTTTCTGCAGCAGAGAATTGGCCCCTGTCTACTTGGCATGATGTGAGATGTTGAAAGTCTCCTAGCGAAAAGTATACTTGGCTGCTCCGCTCTTGTCTTTTCTCTTTCCGATGAAACCACGTTGTTGGGTAGCCCGAGTTTTTGACCTAGGGCAAAAGGAACAGTCAGGAGGCCCGTGGGCTGGGCAGCTGTTCCCGCCCCCCTGCTCTCCCCCAACCCCTACCCCCTGCTCTCCCCTCCCGCATCACCCCACTGGCTCCCCTCATTCCCCCGCCCCCTTGCTCCCCCCCAGCCTCCCCTGCTCCCCCACCCCATCACCCCTGCTCCCCTCCCTGCTCCCTTCCACCCCCTGCTCCCCCACCCCATCACCCCTGCTCCCCCCACCCCCCTGCTCCCCCCCCCGCATCCCCCCCTTCCCCCCCTCATGCCCCCGCCCCCTTTGCTCCCCCCCTCCCCTGCTCCCCTGCCCCATCACCTCTGTTCAACCCCCCCCTCCCCACCCGTCACCCCCTGCCCCTCTGCTCCCCCACCCCATCACCCCCCCATTCCCCCCCTTCCCCTGCTCCCTCTACCCTGTTACCCCCTGCTTCCCCCTACACCCCAGCCCCCTGCTCCCCCATCACCCCCTGCTCCCTCCTGCTCCCCTGCCCACACCCCCTGCTCCCTCTGCTCCTTCCCCGCCCCCTGCTCCTCCCTACCCCCCTGCTCCCCTCGCCCCCTACCTCTCTGCTCCCCTGCTCCCCCCTTAGACCCCCGCTCCCTCCGCCGCTGCCCCCTGGCCCCCTGCTCCCTCCCCGCCCGTCACCCCCTGCCCCCCTACTCCCCCCGTCCCTCTGCTCCCCCTACCCCCTGCTCTCCTGCTCCTCCTACACCCCCCACTCCCCCTGCTCCCCGCCCCCTTGCTCCCCCTACATAGCTGTCCCCATGCTGCCCTTGCTCCCGCCCCCCTTGCTCCCGCCCCCCTTGCTCCCGCCCCCGCTTCCCCGCTCCTTGCCCTCCCTGCTCCCCCCCACCCCTGCTCCCCCCTGCCCCTCTGCTCCCCCTGCTCCCCTGCTCCCCCTACCCCCCTGCTCCCCCTACACCCCCGCTCCCCCCTGCTCCCCCTGCCAACGCCCCCCATGCCCCCGCCCCCCTGCTCCCCCGCCCCCTACCCTCCCTGCTCCCCCCCCGCCCCGTCCCCCCAGCACCCCCCCAGCACCTGGAGCCGCAGCCGGGGGCCGGGCGGCAGGTGGGAGGCAGGCCGCGCCCCCCCACCCCGACGTGCGCGCCTCTGGGTCCCGGGCGGGGCTCCCGGCGCTCGGTCGCGGGGGGGCGCTGTGCGGCCGGCGGGGCGCGGGCGCGGGCGCGGGCGGGGGCGCGGGCGGGGGCGGCGGCGCGGGGCTGCGGGCGCGGCGGGGCGAATCCCAGGCGGCGAGGTCGGCGCCCCCGCCCCTCGGCCCACCCCTCGCCCCGGACAGGGGAGGGGCCGCCGCCGCCGCCGCCGCCCCGCTCGCCGCGCCCCGGGCTCCGCGCACTCGGGCACTCGGGACCCGCAGGGCGGCGGGCGGCCGGGTCGGAGCGGCGGCCGCGGGAGCCGGGGAGCGGGGAGCCCGCAGGAGCCGGGGAGCCCGCAGGCCGGGCCCGGAGCGCGACGACCGCCGCCAGGTAGCGCGAGCGCCTTCCCCGCGGCGGCCCGGGCGGGGGGGGGGGGGCTTTGTGCGCGGGGCGGGGGCGCGGGGCGCGGGGTCCGAGGCGCTCTCCTCCTCCGGCCCCGGGTGTCGTGGCCCCCAGCTCGCGCTGACCTCGGCCCCTCTGCTCCCCTGCCTCGGGGCGGGCGCGGGGAGAACAATGGGGCGTCCCGGCAGCGGACTTCAGGCGCGGCGTGCCCCGGCGGCGGCCGCGCGGGGCCCCTTTGTTCCGCCGCGGCGGGGGGGCTGCCCCGGGGCTCGCTGCCGCCCGGGACGGGCCTCCCCTGGGTGCGCGGGGCGGGGGGGGGGGGAGCCCGGGGGCGGGCGGCGGGGGAGCAGCGAGGGAAGCATGGGGGAGCTCCAGGGGGGCACCGGGGAGCACGGGGGAGCTCCAGGGGGGCACCGGGAGCACGGGAGAGCTCCAGGGGGCACCGGGGAGCACGGGGGGCGCACCGGGGGGCACCGGGAGCAGCGGGGAGCACGGGGGAGCTCCAGGGGGGCACCGGGGAGCACGGGGGGCGCACCGGGGGACACCGCGGAGCAGCGGGGAGCACGGAGGAGCTCCAGGGGGGCACCGGGGAGAAGCGGGGAGCACGGGGGGAGCTCCAGGGAGGCAGCGGGGAGCACGGGGGAGCTCCAGGGGGGCACTGGGAGCTCCAGGGGGGCACCGGGGAGCACTGGGGGGCGCACCGGGGGGGGCCGCGGGGGAGCAGCGAGGAGCACTGGGGAGCTCCAGGGGGCGCACCGGGGAGCACTGGGGGGAGCACCGGGGGGCGGCGGAGGCGCACCGGGAGCAGCGAGGAGCACCGGGGAGCACTGAGGAGCTCCAGGGTGCGCACCGGGGAGCGGCGGGGGAGCAGCGGGCGCACCGGGAGCAGCGAGGAGCACCGGGGAGCTCCAGGGGGCGCACTGGGAGCCCCGAGTAGCACCGAAGAGCGGCTGGGGGCGCCGGGGCGGGGGAGGGCGTCCCGCACGCGGCGCCTGGGCCCGGGTCCGGGGCTCCCGCGGCTGGTCGGCGGCGCTTTGTTCTGCGGCGGCCGAGCGCGTCCCCCGCCCCCCCCGCGGCTCCCGGCGCCCCTTCGCCCCAGCCCGCCCGAGCTGCGCGGAGCCGAGGGCGTCGCTGGTCAGGGCGAGGGTGGCCGCGTCCGGGTCCGGGGCAGCCGCGCACGGATCGGTTCGGGCGCAGAGGGGGCGGCGCCGTGACGCAGCGCAGCAGAGCCCGGGAAGGTTTGGGGGCGCCGCGACGGTGCACCCGGTGCACCCCACTCCCTGCCCGGGGCCCGCGATGCGCGCCCCCCGACCCTCCGGGGCTGTGAGCGGAGCACCACCCCCAACCCAGGGTGGGCCGCCCGGGGCACGGAGGGAGCTGCACCCGGATGCTCAGAGGGGTCCCGGCCTCCCTGTACACATAGCGCCGTGCACATCTGTTGGGGGGCCCTGTTCCAGGTGGGCATGAGGGGCACATCTGTTGGGGGGCCCTGCTCCAGGTGGGCATGAGGGGCACATCTGTTGGGGGGCCCTGCTCCAGGTGGGCATGAGGGGCACATCTGTTGGGGGGCCCTGCTCCAGGTGGGCATCAAGGGGCACATCTGTTGGAGGGCCTTGCTCCAGGTGGGCATCAAGGGGCACATCTGTTGGGGGGCCCTGCTCCAGGTGGGCATCAAGGGGCACATCTGTTGGGGGGCATCAGGGAGGCCGGGGAGGGGGTGCAGGTGGACCTGGAGAGGGAGCCGGGGCATTGGATGATGGGTGTCCTCCAGTGGGTTGCTCCAGGCTGACTGTTGGCAGGCACCAGACACTTCCAGGCACTCCGGGCCTGTGGGACCCTGGTGACCGAAGGATCCCCCAGCGGTGGAGGTTATAACCCTGCGGTGATAGCCGGGGAGACGGGCTGCAGGTGGGGCGGCAGGTGCCCCAAGGACCCACGAGGTGTGACCCCCCAACACACCCGCCTTCATTGGGGACAACCAAGTTCGAAAGCCTCTTAAGCTGAGAAGCGGAATGGGAAGCTCACCCCTGGGAGGGAAGGAACGCTTGCTGCCCACGGAGCCGGGATGGGAAAGGGTTGTAGGGGCGGGATGCGGGTGTCCTCAGGCCAGGCTGGGGGGCTGGGGGGCTTGTCCTCCGGAGCCGGTGGCCGGGAAGCCGAGGCGGGACGCGGCCAAGCAGCAGGCGGTGTGCCGTCACAACCCACACCGCCCGGCGGTGCACACGGGGGACAGGGAGACTCTGTCCCCCTTGTTGCGTTGCCATTTTGGACTTGCCCTTGGAGCTGTGGGCTGCTTTGTGGGGTACAGCACAGTGGGACCCCCCAAGTACTCGTGGAACCTACAAGAACAGCAGCAGGCCCGAGACGGTGGTCACTGCCGCGGGAGCCAAGGGGCACGGGCTCCTCCGTGGGTTGTCTGGCCAGAGGCTCTCCCCAGGGGTGTCCCGCCGTGTGGGGGACTACTGGCTGCACCCCCTTCCTGGGTTGCAGTGAATCACCGCTCTGTCAAGCCTGGTGTTCAGACTCCCCCTCCCAGGTTGCTGCACAGTTAGGTAAAGCGAGGAGGAGCCTCGGACCTCAGCAGGGAAGGAGTGGGGTGCAGGGCAGGAGTAGCGTGTCCTTTGTGTTCTCCCTATCCTGAGTGTGAGGTCCTGTGAGGTCCGGGTTTTTAGCATTCGGCCCCCTTTTGGGTGACGTTCGCCTCTCTTCCCCCTGCCTTGTATTTTTAATAGCTTGGTATTTGGGTTTTTGTTATGTACGTAGCCCACCGGTAGTCGTGTTCAAGGTGTGGAACGGGTGTCGCGTGCATCACTCCACAGTCCGCACACCCTGCTGAGGACCCCACAGCCCGCTGCAGCCCCGGAGCTCACCGGCCTGCCCCTTAGGGCCCTACTCCTAGAGGGAACCGGTAAGTGCCGGAGGTCAAATTTGAACTCCCATCTCTGGTTCAAAGTCCATACGCCTGTAAATAAACACCATATGGGATGATATCTTTTAAAGACAGGAATAACAACAGCTTATCTCTTTGACTCTCCTTTTGCGGACTTCTTATCACTTTCCCGTATGATATAATTGATCTTTTCAGAAACCTCTGTGGGGCACCTGGGCGGCTCCCTCCCTTTGGCTCAGGTCGGATCCCAGGGTCCTGGGAAGGGACCCTGAGTCCTTGGGGTCCTCGCTCAGCGGGGATCCTGCTGCTCCCAGGGCAGAAGCCCGCCTTTCCCCTGCTTGTGGTCTCTCTCTGTCTGTCAGATAAATATAAAGTCCTTAAAAAAAAAAACCCAAAAAACCAAACCTCTGTGAGATGGGTTTGGAAGGCCCAATCAGGGACATCACAACTCCTAAAACTCTATTTGTTAAAAAGTTTTATGCTGTCTGGTGGTCTGTGCGAATAAGCTTTAAGTGAAGGAAACTTTATTTTTAAAAAGTTAGGCTGCCAACATTTGAAAATAAGTTCTTTTTTGGAAACATTGAAGAGCGGTGGCATGCACTAGATCTTACCTAGCGTTTAAGCATTTTCTATTTACTGACATCCGCTTTAGCTCTTTTTATCTTCCAGCCTTTGATAGAACAGTACACTTCGGAGCCCCGAAGCCGGAGTGTCTTTTTAGAAGAGGAATAAGGAGGGAAGGAATGTGATTATAAAGAGGAAGTGGGCCATCAGAATTGGAAACATACCCAGCAGCAGGCCGTGGATTTTCCCAGCACATGCTTTTGGTCCTGGCAGTCGCCTTTTACAGAAGACATTCTTCTTTAGGGAAGTGTCAAGGGTCTTTCTTTACAGTACCTCTGAGATCATCACATCTCTGTGCCCGTGGGAGCACGTATTCTGTGGGATTTCTGTGTTCATCCTCTCCCCACGGGGGAAAGGGTGAAAGTGGAATGAAGTGGCATCTCCAGTCCTTGGGATGGCCTGGAGAGGGGTCGTTGGCGGGAGACACCCGGCCTTGACCCAAGAGTGACCCCCAAGTGCAGGAGCAGAATGGATTTTAACACTTGGCGTCATCGACTGTGGATTTCTCAGAATGCTCCTGGGCAAAGGGAAAAGTCAGTATTGGGTTTTTTAAAGTGTCTAGGATAAGACTAGGGAGGCTCAAAGTTCTACCTTTACTGGTTTAATTATTTCAAATAACGACAGGGCGTCACTTGGGGCCTTCGGGGGGACGGTGGTGTAGGAGCAGTGACTCAAAAAAAAAAAAAAGGAGCAGTGACTCTTGTCTCTTGTCATTTTTTTTTTTGATTTTTTTGTTTTGTTTGTTTTTGTGTTTTTTGTTTTTGTTTTTTTTTTTTTTTTGGTCTTTTGTCATTAAATTGCCCTTCACTGGATATTTGGAGGGACGTGTGGCCTGCTGAGCACCGTCGGGGAGCACCTTCCCGCCCCCCTACTGAGCAGGATGAGGGCCGCTCCAGAGCATCTGGCCCTTAGAACCTCTCCTGGGTGTCTTTCCCGTGTCCTCGCTGTTCTCGTCCGTTCCTGTCTTACTAAGCACATGTTGAGGGGAGGCCATGCATTAAGAAGCAATAAAGGAAATCCATTGTGCCTCGGAGGACACAGCAGGGCAGGCCGCTGTGCCCGGAGTGGATGTTGGGGACATGGATGAAATGACTATGACAGCTGTGGTGACCAAGGCCTCGCCAACACCCACTGCCCGGACAAAGGCTGAAAACAAACAAAAGCAAGAGAGTGGGAGGAGAGGGAGCTCAGAGTCGGCTCCTTCTGTGTCCTCGTCCTCGTCGTCCTCGGTGCTTTCATTTCTCCCAGGCTCTGGGGGCGTGGAAGGAAGGGGTCAGGTCCCCAACACCTGCCTCTGATGGTGGGGCCTGTGGGGCCAGTGGGGCCGCTTGGGATGTGGGAAGCAGCGTCCTGGAGGACAGCGCGCGGCCTCCTGCTTGGGACCCGAGGACGGACAGAGTGTCCTTCCGAGGGACAAGTTGCCGGAGTCGAGTCAGGTGCTCTGTCCTGGGCGCTTCCTACCTGCCTCCCTCCGTACCTGCCCCGTGCAGGCCTTGCAGGCCGGGTGCTGCGTTCAGCCCGAGTGCCTTGTGCCTAAGGAGTGCCGAGTCCCCAAAGGATGGATCTTTCATATTTTAGATGATCCTGCGATTGTATTAGCGGTGAAGTGTGGGGTGCTCTCTTTGTGTCAGGCCTCAGCCTGGGTCCCCTCTCCTCCCCTCCCCCCTCATCTCCTCCCCTCCCCTCCCCCCTTCCCCTCCTCTCCCCTCCCCTCCCCTCTTCTCCTAGCCTCCACACCCAGGGTAGAGCCCAGCGAGGGGCTCGAGCCCGTGACCCTGAGATCAGGCCGTGCGTGAGCTGGCCACCAGGATCTGATGCTGTACCGACTGAGTCACCCAGGCGGCCCCTGGGCATTCGCTCCAGCTTTTGTTTCACGCCCCTTGCTTGTTTGTCTGTGGGGACTGAGTCATTGCCCGAGCCTGGGAGACATTAAGCCCAAGGCTGTGTGCTTTCCAGAACAACATGCTGCTCCGAGGTGCCGTGTTCTTTGAAGCTCGGGCTGCTTTTAAGGAGGTTGTTTTAGGGAGCTGGTGGGGAGAGCCCCTGTGACAGTCTCTGCCCCGCAGCTTGGTTCCCTTGTCACCCGCGTCAGGCTCCCGTGGGAGTCCTCGGCCAGTCCCGAGCTGGGCGCCTCCTCTCCTGGGCCCGGCTCCCCTACGTCCTGCCCCATGGCGAGGGTGGCTCGGGCGCCAGATCGGGCCTGCTGGTGCTGGGGTGGCCTGGCCTCCCCGCGCTTCCTCCTCTGCAGGGTCCAGGAGCAGGGTGCGGCGCCGCTGGGCACCCAGCTGGGGTTCGGGGTTCAGCGGGGGGGGGGGGTGAGTGGCACGGACCAGGTGCCATGGGGTCCGCGCTCTTCCAAGATGCGCACTTTTATTTTTTTATTTTTTTAATTTTTATTTATTTATGATAGTCACACACACACACACACACACACAGAGAGAGAGAGGCAGAGACACAGGCAGAGGGAGAAGCAGGCTCCATGCACCGGGAGCCCGACGTGGGATTCGATCCCGGGTCTCCAGGATTGCGCCCTGGGCCAAAGGCAGGAGCCAAACTGCTGCGCCACCAGGGATCCCCAAGATGCGCACTTTTAGAAGTTGAAGCCTAAGTCTGAGGAGCGGTGAAAACTTGATCCCTTCCTTCCAGATAAACAGTGTGGAGCTTCTAAGAGCACCAGGCGCCTGGCTCCCCCGACAGGTGGGGGAACAGGTGGGGGCCGACAGGTGGGGGCCGGGAGGAAAGCAGGTGGGCGCCTCGCGGGGACTTCGCCAGATCCTGCGTGGACGCGGGAGGCTCTGAAGTTGCACACATGGCTTCATTTTGCCAGGTTAAAATAAAGAGACAATTCAAAACTGTACCTTACAAGTTTTTAAACTCGTTGAAAAATAAAAAAAAAAAAAGAAAAGAAAATAATTCAATGTCCCTAAAGAGATTTTCGAAAATTGAATTGAAAGGACAATGGGACCGATGGTTAACTCTTGGCTGTTGTCAGGGGTGTGTGCGCCCTCATCTTCCTACTGATTCTCACCGGTTCCATGAAACCATTCTTCATACACTTCAACCAAAACAAACAATAACAACAACAACAAAAACTCTTTTTCAAAAACTTTTCAACCTTGCTTAGAAGCATCCCTGCCAGCCCTGCTTGCATTTTCCTCTTCTCTCTCCTCCCTGAGTGCGGCTTCTCTTTAAATTCTTTGTTACGAGGCCCTGTAGTGCTGTTTGCAGTTCTTAGCTGATCACTTTTCCCCTTGAAAGTACTTCAAAAGGATCATCACGGTTTTATTCATTTTAGGATTCCAGCCTAAGTGCTTTTAGGAAAAGCTTAATTTTTATAAACCCTGGGTGTAGGCCGGTGCGCGTGGCCAGGGGTTTGTGGGCACTCTGCTTACAGTTGTAATAAGTTGACCAGTTTTGATCTACCCCTGATGTCCTGAGCCTTCTGGGAAAAAGTCCTCATTTGCCTTGAAGTCTTCAGGGTGTTGAGAGGTATTCCCGGAAATACGGGAACTGCGGCGCTGGGTCGCTTTCAGGCATTTGCTTTGTGCCGCAGCAGAATCTTAAGTATTCTGTGACATTGGGGGCGGGGGCCGGAGTTAGACCCCATAGTTTTGTAGGTTTCATCAATCTCTCTCTCTCTCTCTCTCTCTCTCTCTCTTTTTTGGTTTCATGCATCTCATACATCCACAGTAGCATAATCCCATAAAAGCCTCCCAATCGTATATTTAAGTTCATATATTCAAATTCCTGAGTTCGCTTTTATTCTATATTCTCTACCTTTCACACCTTTAAAGGTAGAACTCGATAGTATTGGTATTGGTATATTGACTTCCAGGTCCCCAAATTTTGGGATGGTGGAGTGGTAAAGTTGAGAGAGCCTAATGGTCACTGCTATAACCCCTTCCTTGTATTTGAGACCTGCGCGGGCTCATAACGTTAACCGGGGGCCGATCTGGGAACTTGACCCTACTCTTTTAACTTCTTGCTCAATTTTCCTTCTAGGGGAATATCTTACTGTGTCCCCAAACCCATCGAAATTCAAGCTTAGTGTCCATTACCGAATAGTCGATCCTCCTTTGACTTCACTCTTTGTGCTATCATCATCTGGACTTGGGATTCCAGAAGCATTACCTACTTCTCTATTTTCTGTGACCCATCCGTTCATCCGGTCAGTTGTTCTGTTTGGTTGACTGTTGCCTTTTATTTCTAAATCCTTAAGCCTCTATTCTGGCTCAGGCCTCTAAAAGGCTAGGCTGGGTTAGTAGGATGTAGCAGTTTCCAAAGTGGATTGTTCCATAAAAAGTTAGCAGGTTGAAAAACACTCCCCTAGAGCGCCGAGATGTGTACTGTCAAAAAAGGGATCCTAGGAGAGGTAGGTGTTGGCTAGACAACAT